CTCCCAGCTGGCTCCCAGCTCCCTTTTTCTATCATTCATGGTCAAAACTGAATGCAAATGTTTCTTTTCATGAGAAATAAGTCACAAAAACATAATTTAACGCACCTTTTTTCCCTTCCTTTCACTGATCACTCTTTCAACTGTGTAGACCTTAGATTTTGTTTTTCTCTGTAGCTTCAGTGGCTCGCACAAAAGATCTGAACAACACGGCTCATTCAATATTTTGTAGTTTACTTTTGATCATGCTCGAGGTCTCACTGAAACAGAAGCTGCCATATTGAAAACTTGATACCAATGAGCATTTCGATTAGCCTTTGCCTGCAACCACATGCCCCCTTATTTGCGGGAGCAGAATGTCTCCAAGTTCTGGTGATGCATGTGAAACAGACAGGGTTGCTCACTGAAAATATTAAGTTAAACCCCTAAAGGAGACCAATGTGGGCTTGGCTCAGATGTAAATACATAAAATACGATACTTTTTTCTCATTTCTTTATGAGCACCCTTTAGCCTAACCCTAAACCACCCTAAGCAAGACCAAACATCTGAAATTTACACTCCAAAGCAAGATGATGAACATCCCTGTCTGTTTTAGATGGGGGTCCCCCTAGGCCCTTCACTCTGCAATTGGGGGTAAGTATGAAGAAAAAAAGTATAGTATTAGAATTTAATTTCAGCTCTAATTTACAGTCAGGTTTCCAGCAAAACATATGTTAATTAAAATGTATGATAGAATATAACCAATTTGGTACATTTTATTGCAGCATCCACAGTGCCGATCCTTTGTGTGGATGAGGCATACTCTCTCCTGCAAAGACTAAAGTATCAAGGGAAATCAACATCACAGACAAGCCTCTTAATGGAACGCCTGTGTAAATGTTATGAAGGAGACTTTTGGTATGCACTAAAAGGGAAAAAGGCAAGCAAGTTGGTGTAACTTCAACTAAACTAAGCCTTCTTGCTTTCACCACCCCTCAGCAATTCCTGGAGTCAGTTTGGCCAAAAATTGTGGCCTCAAAGAATGGCCTGGCAGAGATGTTGCTGTTTTTTTATCAAAGAAGATCAGAAGATCTTAACCTGGAAGCCATGGCAGAAAACTCTGACTCCCTGGATGATTATTCTTTAAATCTCTTAGCGATGTATTTGAAAAGAGATATGGGGAACATAATACAACCCCAGAACTGAAGTACACATTGATTAGCACTGCCAAGGAACTTTTCGTCAAGTTCAGTAAGCCTAATGAAGATGACAGCCAGGGTGCAATTGTCAGTCCAAGTATTTCCTCAGCTTCAAAGAAATATAAAAACAATTTAGGTATTGCTTTAAATATGCCGGTCCTATACCACCAGCTAACACAGGAAAAAATTCCTAAAACACATGCATGGGTATTTAGCTTTTTACATTTTGAATAAAACCCATCGGTGGTTTTTATAGAAAACCATTAATGTTTATTACAAATAAACCAACAGTGTTAATCAATTTCCCCACAAGAGATGTGTGGTGGCACATTACAATTAAAAACAAGGATGGTTTTTGTTTAAAAACTTGTGAAATGTTTTTATATTTTCCATTAATGGGAAAACAAATCACAAATACACTCTTGTAAAATTAAGAAACAGCTTTGTATTCTGGTGAGCAAACATCATGTTTATCTAATTATCATTAATGTGAAAATACAGAAGTTGTGCAGCCAAATCCCATTCATGTGTTTTGGAACAAGAATGGATTGGTCACATTTGGTTTGGTGGCATTTTATAACAATTGTCCAGCATGTTTTTTTACTTAAAGACCATGGATGGTTTATGTATTTTCCATTGATGGGGAAACAAGTCCATACAAAACCTTGTTGTGAAATTAAAGAAACAATCTATTGTTTTGATGGAAAAAAACATCCCTGTTCATGCTCTTTTCAGTTGCTATAACATACTACATAGCCCATCCATGAAATAGTTCACCATTATCATTGTTCTCCCCATTGCTGTGAAATAAGAGAAACTAAAATCACTGTCTCCAAGGAATTGAAAGACAAAATTTCTAAAGATACAAAAACATTTCAGTTACATTTTTTCACTGAAAGAACAGAAGTACAGTAAAAGATATGACTACATCATATCATTTTTAAGGTAAAACATTCCATGTGAACTTAGGAGATGTGGGTGTCAGAATGTAATAATTTTCTCCAAAATGGAAAAGAACACAGAAATTATATGGATCTGGAGTTAGTCTTTTCAAATTAAAATGAAGTTTCTTATTCTTAACTAAGTCTGGATTTTTAGCTTCATATGTGATTATTACATTATCCAGGTATCTCCTCTCCATTCACCATTTGCATGACACAAAATAGAGTCCCATGAGACAATATCTTGGGCCTGTCTCCTTTCCTGGCATTGCACATACAGGGTTCCACCAGGTCTTTGCACATCCTCCACATAGTAAACAACTTTGGCTGTCTTTGCCCTCTCTTGAATAGTCAACACCTTGGCCAGCCAGGGGTGAGGGTTGTCTCCTTTGATGAAAATCATATCATCTATTTGTGGATGGAATGGCACTTGGATGTCACCCCATGTAATTGGCATGATTTCTCTTTGAAAATCTAGAACTGTTCTCCTACCAGGATGTAGAGGATCATTGTAATTGTACAGTATAGCTTTCCTCAAAATTGCTGTAACTGGAGCGATCCCAATGACAAGGATGACTTTGATCAAGGCAGATTGTGAACTCTTTAGGTTCCTTATAACCAAATTCCTTAAGAAGTTTTTCAGTTTCTCTCCAATTTTTTGGCCAGTAAGCTGTGAGACTTTGGTTACTGTGACAAAACAAGTCTTTAGCAAAAACCAATACTTCTTCAAAGTCATTTAATGTTCCTTGCATTTGGTTTACCAACATAAGTGCTCTTAAGTCTGAGCTCTCCTGAGTTTTCCTCTAGTTCTGGTTGTTGGTCTGGTGATAATGATTCACAATCTGCACCGCTGGAGTCCCGCAACCAATCCTGGTGAACACTAGTACTATTACCATTATCTTCATTATCAAAGTCGGCTTCAGCTGATGAACTACAAATTAAATCAATTAAATACAAAAATCATTCTTCATCCTAGAATTGATTTTCATGAACAATGCAAATGAAATAAGTACATGTCATACACATGCAGATCGTTTACAATTGGAACGATTCATAATAGTGTTGGGTTTGCGCCTAAACTTAAACTTTTTGTAGTTCAGCAATGCTTGGTATAAACTCAATTAAGAAGATTTAAGGCAAAAATTCGCTTGTTTAAGGTGATGGTCGATTGACAGAATTAAAGTAAATCCCAAGGTGATTTCGGTTTCTCCGTGTGGGATTGATCAGAAAGCTTCCAAGAGGTCACGGATTTACTTACTAACAAGAACATAGTGCTGTTAATCGTTTTCTTGTTACTCTGTTCTGTGTTACTGCGTTGCTCTGTTTAGAAACACCCACATCATAAAGTGAAGCTCAAGTAAAGGCCTCTGCAGCCACTTGTTGATCTTTTACCGAGGAAAAACTAAAACGCTTACCAATCTAGATTAAGAACGGGTTCGGCGAGTTCTAAGGAATTTTGCCAGTGCCAATGTTTGTACTCCACCGAAGACGAAACAGGTTTCCCATCAAAGTAAATACACGGGCAATGAACGTGAGCGTAGGAAAGGTCGCTGCACTGACATCTGACGATTTCCCTTCAACTCCAGCTTCTTTTCATGGTACAAAGCAATAAGAATATCCAAAAACTAAGTAATGAAACACTTCATCACTATTCCATACTTACTAAACTGGTAAAGGCATGCTTTGACCTTCCTACTTCAAGAGATTAAGGACTGGGGCAAGTCACGAGTTAGTCCAGATTTAGACACAGTAACCATCAATGCCTTTCGGGCACTCTACTTATTTCCACTGTATTTCTCTTCGCGCCTTTTCACTTTCCCGCCGCCTACGGATGCTTTCATGCTAGAATATTGCCGTAACCTAATAACATGGAGGAAGCTTCAAGGCAATTAACAGAGTGGACAGTGGATGAGGTCTCCAAACGAGTTCGGGAGAAGTTTAACGACAATGTAGCTAAAAAGTTCGAAGGTAAGTTGTACATATGTAGCAAATCCATATTAAAATTGTAAATTCGTTCGATCGTGAACTGTCAGTGTTCTTTGGTCCGACTTTGGAAACGTTTTGTTGCTCGTTTTTGATGCGGTTAAAATTATCTTTAAATGTGCCAAAATTGAGGAAAGTTTGCTGAGATTAATTTGGTATACATGCAATCCGGACTTACATGTCACCAATTACCTGCATGCTACTATGTCTGAGTGTAAATTTGGAACGACACTTCATTTCTTTCCTTCCCATTTTGCCTTTACGCTTTGTAACAATGATTAATGGTTTCTTCGGTTTTTCTTCCTTCAATGCAGAACAGAAAATTGATGGCAATGCACTCAAACTTTTGGCGAGAGAAGGGAACACAACGCAGTATGCTGCATGCGGATTGACTACAGTCGGTGATCAGATGCACCTGAAAGAAATGATATCAGGGTTAACTTTACCTCTGGTACCGGTGTTGAGCAGGCATCGTATAAAGCCCACAATTACAGAAATCAAAACATTGGCAGAATTAAATCAAAGAATTTATAAAGCAAAGTAAGTAAACTATATATTGTAATATATTTCTCGCC